TCTCTGCGTCTCTGCGTCTCTGTGACTCTACATGTCTCTCTGTCTCTACATGTCTCTGTAACTCTACATGTCTCTGTGTCTCTACATGTCTCTGCGTCTCTGTGTCTATGTGACTCTACATGTCTCTGTGACTCTGTGTCTGTGTCTCTACATGTCTCTGTGTCTCTACATGTCTCTGCGTCTCTGTGTCTATGTGACTCTACATGTCTCTGTGTCTCTGACTCTACATGTCTCTGTGTCTCCGTGACTCTACATGTCTCTGTGACTCTACATGTTTCTGCGTTTCTGCGTCTCTGTGTCTCTGTGATTCTACATGTCTCTAGGTCTTTGTGTCACTGTGACTCTACATGTCACTGTGCCTCTCCGTCTCTGTGTCTCTGTGTCTCTGTGACTCTACATGTCTCTGTGTCTCTGTGACTCTACATGTCTCTGTGCCTCTGCGTCTCTGTGTCTCTGCGTCTCTGTGACTCTACATGTCTCTGTGTCTGTGTCTCTGTGACTCTACATGTCTCTGTGTCTCTGTGTCTCTGTAACTCTACATGTCTCTGTGACTCTACATGTCTCTGTGTCTCTGTGACTCTGTGTCTCTGTGACTCTACATGTCTCTGTGACTCTACATGTCTCTGTGACTCTACATGTCTCTGCGTCTCTCTGACTCTACATTTCTCTGTGTCTCTGTGTCTATGTGTCTCTGTGACTCTACATGTCTCTGTGTCTCTGTGACTCTACATGTCTCTGTGTCTCTGTGTCTCTGTGACTCTACATGTCTCTGTGCCTCTGCATCTCTGTGTCTCTGTGACTCTACATGTCTCTGCGTCTCTGTGTCTCTGTGACTCTACATGTCTCTGTGCCTCTGCGTCTCTGTGTCTCTGTGACTCTACATGTCTCTGTGTCTGTGTCTCTGTGACTCTACATGTCTCTGTGTCTCTGTGACTTTACATGTCTCTGTGACTCTACATGTCTCTGTGTCTCTGTGACTCTACATGTCTCTGTGACTCTACATGTCTCTGCGTCTCTGTGTCTCTGTGACTCTACATGTCTCTGCGTCTCTGTGACTCGACGTTTCTCTGTGTCTGACTGTCTGTATGTTTTCCTGTCTCCCCACGTCTGCAGGGTTTTGCCACCCCCCTGCCACGCAATACAATTCCAATGCCCCTTTACAGCTTTGGGCAATCAGCTGCCCTGATTGCCCACCTCTAAGTCCGGAGAGGGGGGAGGGTGGGGGGCCCTGTGTGTAAATCAATGGACAAGGGAAGTTGTCAGGACCCAAGTCTCAAAACACAGCTGCCGTCCTTCACTGCAGGCCCAGCCTCTCAGCGCAGTTGCACTAAATCACGCCGTTCAATCCGGCTGCCCTTTAATAAATTACGGTGAACTGCTCACTGAACCGGCCAAACCATTTCCACCTGTAAACGCGCCGGGCGTCCAACATCTGAGTAACATTTCGCAGCAATTTTAGACCTGACCGCGCGCTTGAAATAACAAAACGGAATATTTCACCGCAGAGGGGGGTTATACGGACAGCCTGGAACTTCGCTGTTACACAATTTCTAATCGGTGCGAGTGGTGCAAGCGATTCCTAAGAAAAACGGCTTCATGGGGCACGTGAGCCGCAGTGGATTGTTTTGGTTTTGGGGCTCAAGGCTACGCGGAGGTCAGTGGGCAAAGAGGCTAAGGGTGGCAGTGGATCAACAGGCAGGAACAACGTGATAATCCCCCGACAAACTTCTAACGCAATTCAAAAGGCAATGTGATTTGCTGCTCGAGTGAGCATTGAGGCATTGGTGCTCATCTCGTGTTCACAGTCCTGCTGAGCCAGCGGTGGAAATTCCGCATTCCTATGGCAGGAGCGAGTTTCTCCATAGACCAACCACTGTTAGCGTCTCCACAGCGTGGGATGACGGTGAACCCTCCTCCTGCACCCCAGACCAGAAATTGAACTCAAACTTGCGATTGTGAGCTGCTCGCTCCAACCACTAAGCAGCAGCCACCCGGCCGGCTCCAATCAAATCAAATAAATAAATTCCATCCCCTCTCAATCCACCGGTGGTCGTCGCCTCGATCATTCGGGGTTTATTGACCATACCTCACCATGCTGGTCACTGGAGATTGGTGAATGGGGTGGCAGAAGGTGGCGGGGGGCACGGGGAGAAAGGTGAAATCGGTTTTGGTGTCGCTCGGCACTGGTGTCGGCCGAGGCGAGAATCGGTCCTCAACGATTCCGATCTCGGACGTGGCATCGATTGTGCACGTGTGTGTGTGTGTGTGCATGCATGACAGCGGTAGTGTAGCGGTCAACGCACTGTGCGACGGTTCCGGCGAGCCGGGTTCGATTCCCGCTCACGGCCAAAACCGGTGACGATTATCTGAACAGGTCTCCCCTAGGTTGACTCAGCCTCAAACGAGTACCTGGTGTGGTGTGTAAACATCGCCACTAGGGAGACAAAGGCGGTCGCGCGTGGTGCTGGCCACCCACCCCCTCGTGTACTGTTCTGGCCTTCATAGGTGCTCGCTAACAGCACTTGCCCCAACAGTCTATTATTAAATGCTATACGGGGGAACTTTGTCTTGTAACAGCGTTGCCAACTGGCTAAGACTCATGGTGCACTGGGGACACCAGAACCATTCGGAGCTCACACACACTCCCGTAATTATTCTCCCTTAGCCATCAAGCGGCCGCTGACGTGAAAAGGTAACTGAACATGTGAGCGCACACAGACAAATATCCCCCGCATAGCCTTTAAAAGACTGCTGGGGCAAGTGCGACGAGCAAGCGGCTATTAGGGGGCGGGTGGCCAGCACCATGTCCAGCCGCCTTTGTCTCCCCAGTGCTGATGTGTCACACACCACACTTAGTGCTCATCGAAGGCCGAGTCGATCTCGGAGAGAGACTCTTTCAGGTCTATGCCGCTGTTATTGGTCGCGAGCTGGGAATTGAACTTGGGTCACCGGGTGTGTAGCGTCGTGCGCTACCGCTCCTGGCTTCTCCTCTTCACCATCCCCCACCACCGCTATGCAGCCAGATGCTGTGGCAATGCATCTCACAAAACGCAATATAAATCACGATGCGCTGCCGGAACGCATATATCTTTCCAAAGGATCTTTCAGGAAAAACAAAAAAAAACCTAGGGACGACTTTTTCTTTTTAAATTACACAGGATGTTACGGCCCAGTCCCCAGATAATTTAGAAACTGTTATTATTTATATATTATTTATCGTGGACGCAGGAATGTATAAATCGCCGTGGCTTTTTTTAGTTGCTGCAGATTTAACAAACGGCCACCTTTGTGTTGTGATTAATGAAAAGTTTCACCTGGGGCCACCGAATATTTTTCCACATACCGTGACGACATTTTTCGAGTGTAAAAATTACTCTGAGACAGCCCAACCTCTCCCGTGGCGGAGAGCGTGGGGGGAGGGGGGGGGGGAGTTATAATATGGGGTAGGATTTCAAGACAAGGGGAAGACGCGGTGGCTTTTGCTTTAATAGATGAGACCCCCCCCCCCCCCGACGACTAACAACACAAACAGCTGTGATCTTGTCGACATGTGGGCCCCCGACTGCGCGGTGCCTCTGGCTGCCTGACAAAGAGTCTCCAGCTTCACGACGGGGAAACTAAAATGAAAAAGAAGTGGGGTCGGGAGAACACCCCCGGCGACGACGTCACTGCGGCGAGGCCGGGTCGGAGAGGACTGCGGCGTGCGAGGCGTGTCCATGCTCGAGTGTGTTGGTGACCGACTTTGAACGTGTTGGTTTTTTTAAGACAATCAGTAAAAGTTGCCGGCGTACGCCGGAGAGCAGGGAACACAAAAAACTCCGAATCAACGAGAGGAGATCGGAGGTGAATGATCGCGAGGAGGATTCTGTCTTCACGCGTTTTTTTTAGATTCCAACACAAAAAGAATATAATCCCATTTGATGCACGGGAAAAAGAATAAAGCGGAGCACGGAGAGACGCGGCTCGCAGGTGTACGGGAGACAGAAGCGGGGAGGGAGAGGCAGAAAAATCACGGCAACGCGCGCACCTCCGATCAGCACGGTTGGCTACGTACGGCGCGAAAAAAGTTCAAAGTACAAGGCAGCGAGAGTGACGGACAGAGCAAAGCAGAGGAACTGAAATGGACGACACCACGAATACTCTGGCTAGCGTCACTGCTGGCGGACGGGCCTCAACCTGAGGGAGCTCTCGAGAGCCACTCTGTAGGCTATTTCGGCCGACTCTTCCGCGTTGATCAGACGGCGGTGGAAGTGGTCGGAGTGCACCCACACTTTGCGACACCATTCGCGTAGCCGGTTACACTGCTCGGCGGACAGAGGCTGGAAGGTGGGGGGAAGGGGAATTGAAGTAAAACTTGCACCTGAATTCACAGCATCGCACGGCGCTTTCAGATGCGCCTCTGTGGCCATCTGGAACGCTCTTCCTTCCGATGTTAGGAAGCTACTGGAGCTATGCACTTTTAAAATCGAGATTGAAAACTAATTTATTTAGAATTGCTTTGTGTGTTCCATTTGTTGTCCTTCCCCCGCACCTCTGATTAGCACGGTTGACCACGTACGGTGCAAAAGAAGTTCAAAGTACATGAACAAAAGCACTCATCAATTGGCTGAACACATCTTGATACATAGAGGATTGCAGATCTTGGCCAACAGTTGGTATCGCTTCCTCATTGCCACCTGGTCGCTGCCTTCCAGCTCAGTCTGCGGTTCCTCGGCGCTTGTGAGACGCAATTCACGCGACCGCCGACGACTGACGACGGCGCGATAACCAACAACGAACGTCGTCATTGTTCCCGCGATCGCTAACTACGGCACGGGGGGCCAGGCTGATCCATGGCACGAGCGCCGTTGACTCCGTACAGAGTTGCGCTCGCCTCATCCGCCACCGACGAGGGGAACGTAAACCCGTGCAGCTCGCGGCCGAGATCCTCCGCTGTCGGGGAGTCCACGCTCCCAACGTTCCCACCGTGGCGCATTCGTTTCTCGCGACGACGCGCTCACCTTCGCACTTCTGGGTGCTGTCGCTCTTCTTGTGCCCGGCCGGACACTTGCACTCGTAGGAGCCCACCGTGTTGGTGCAGGTGCCGCCCTGGCACAAGCCCGGCACCGCCTGGCACTCGTCCACATCTGCACACGACGCGTTGGCAAAGATCACCCGCGCGTATTAGCCTTAACGGAATGTTGCGGCAAGCGCTGTTAGCGAGCACCTATGAAGGCCGGCACGGCACACGAGGGGGCGGGTGGCCAGCACCACGCCCGGCCACCTTTGTCTTCCCAGTGGCGATGTTTACACATTGCACCAAGTACTAATTTGAGGACGAGTCGACCTAGGGGAGGCCCAGGACCGGTTCAGATAATCGTCACCGGTGTTGGTCGTGAGCGGGAATTGAACCCGGGTCACGAGGTTCGCATTGCAGTGCGTTTAGCGCTGCACTCCCGCTTCCCAAACACACGTTTGCACAAGCGTTAACACGCATACACAAAGATGTCCCTTACAGCCTTCACAGACTTTTGGAGCAAGTGCCGTTTGCGAGCACCTATGAAGGCCCACAATAGGGTGGTGAGGCCAGTACCATGCTCGGCCGCCTAAGTTTCCCCAGCGCTCATGTTTGCACACTGCACTCATATAAGACTAAGGTGACCTATGGGGGGCCCAGCACCTGTGTGTCTGTGTGGTGCGGTGTGTCTGTGCGGTGCGTCCATGTGGTGTGATACGTCCATGCGATGTGTCTGTGCAGTACGGTGCACCCCTGCGGCGCGTCCGGGCAGCGTCTGTGTAGTGTGGTGCGCTGTGCGCCGTGCGGTGCGGCCGTGCGGTGCGTCCGTGTCTGTGCGGTGCGTCCACGCGACGCGTCCGTGCGGTGCGATGCTTCCGTGCGGTGCGGTGTGCCCACGCGGTGTTGTGCGTCCGTGCGGTGCGTCCGTGCGGTGCACCGCGCGCCCTCACCCTGGCAGGCCCCCGTGCGCACGTTGGGGACGAAGCCGCGCCGGCACGGCTGCGGCTGCGAGGGGCACGTCTCGCACGGGTGGCCCCACGCACGCCCGATGGTGGCGCAGCAAAGCGTCTTGGTGCACACCACGCCGCTCAGCTGGCCCTGGCACATCTGGTTGGTCACCTGCGTGAAGCAGGGCCCCGTGCGGTAGTCTGCAAGCGGCGACGGGGCGAGGGGGGGGACAGAGCGAGCCCGGATTTCACGCGGCGTCGTTGGCTCCTTTAAACATCCGGCGGGAGAGCGAGCGGCTTCGCGAGTCGGAAGGCGTTGCGAGTTCAATTCCTGGTTGGGGGTCGAACCGGCCCATCGACCCTCTGGGATCGATAAAAATAAGCACCACTTTGAGGGAAAGTCATCAACAGCCGCCCCTGGCCATAGGAATGTGGAATTTCAACGACCGGCTCTGCAGGGCTGTGAGCACCGATGCCACAATGTTAATTTGAGCCGGAATTCGGGTTCACAGTGCGAATGCGTCACGGGGCACGGTACAGCGGGGACAGGCGGTGAGGATGATGCGTGACGACGATATTGTTAACGATGATTACGGGGACGGGCAGAGTAAGCGGATCAAAGGTCGTCGAGGAGGAGAAGGAGAGGTGCAGCATTCTGGGAAGGTGAAATTAGCAGCCGTCAGGTGATGCCACAGGGCAGGAGAAGCGAGCGATGGAGACAAAGGAAGAGGACAAGCAGATGCCAAAGGCAGGGGGAGCGAGCGAGCGACGGCGAGAGAGACGAAGGGTGAGCATTGAGAGCGAGGGGCCGACATGAGGCGGAGCAGACGCGGTTGATCCAAACAATTGTTCCTTCGGGAGCCGTGGTTCACAATGGCCCATTGCAATTATGAGAAAAGCGCGCATGCACACACGCACGTATCACGCATGCACGTTTCACACGCACGTTTCACACGCACGTATGACGCACGCACGAATCGCACGCACGTATCGCAGGCACGCACGCATCGCACGCACGTATCACGCACGCACGTATCACACGCATTCACGTATCACACGCACGTATCACACGCACGCACGTAGCACGCACGCGCGTATCACGCACGCACGCACGTAGCATCGCAAGTGAGCAGACATTCCCGCACGTGCGGGAATGTCCGCACGGTTCACAAGGAGTGCCTCTCTACGTGGAAGTGTCCCACGTCCGTGTCTTCAACTGTCGCAACTCCACCACAGCCAATCAAGTGGGGTTGGCAAACGCGACACTCAAACATCACCTCAGCGTTTGACATTTTAAACTATCCGCGTGGCTAAAAAGCCAAAAGAAACTGAAGTGCGAATCGTAAAGTTTGGTCCACAAAGCCTTCGCCCAACGTCATAAAACCCGGATTGTTGTCCGCATCGTCGTCGTCGTCATCACGAGCGCCACCGCGGCCGTGAATGCACCGAGAGAACTCAGCCGGCCTCCGCTCGTTGGCCGAGCTGCCGCCGTCTTCAATGTTCGGCGAGGCAATATTGAATGTCCTCGAGAGAGCAAATGTGTGTGTGTGTCGCGGCACGCGATGGAACAAAGCGGGCTTCACTGCATTTTAAATCAAATTTGGCTCGCGCATATATACAGAACAAAAACATAATGCGTGCCTAATCCCTCGAGTAATTTTGTTTTAAAATTAAAATAAATGTTACTTTAATATACGTTCCGCCCCCAACGCTTCCCGTACCCATTTCACCACCACCGCAGCCAACCGCTGATAATCAAGTTGGAAATGTTTACTGCGCTGTTGGGAGTGTCTCATTTCCGTTGGTTGTGTGTGTGTACGTGCGCCTGTGTGTGACGTGCAGGCCTTTATAGGTGCTCGCAAACAGCACTTGCCCCAACAATCTGTTAAGGCTACACGGGGGATCTTTGGCTTTGTGTGCACCTAGTCTGGCACAAGTGCCGCGGTGACGTCACCGCGTGCGGTGGCCGGCGCGCTGCGCTACGAACCGAGCAGCCGGGGGAGCTCCATTCCCGCTCACGGCCACCATCAGTGGCAGATTGCCTTGGTGCTGGGACTAGGCAGCTTGAACAAAACAAAAACACGAGCAGCTGACGCGGAGTGTCAACAGGGAGACACGCGGGTGAGACAAAGGCGGCCGGGTGCCGTGTCGGCCACACTCCGTGACCACCTTTGTCCGCAGTGGCGGACCTCATAGGCGCTCGCTCACGGCACTCGCTCCCCAACAGTGTGTCTAACGCGACCGGGCTGCAGAGAGCTTCGTCTTTGTTGGCCTGTGTGTGTATGTGTGCCGCTGTTCTCCATCCAGCGCGGTGGCGAGTGTTTGATCCCGTGACTCGGTCAAACAGCGGCCCGGCGCTAACAAACAGGGCCCGCTCTGTCTGCCGTTTCGATTTTTGTTTTTCAGGCTGGCGGCTCCGTGAGCTCTCTCCCAGCGGAAGACGGCCGAGCCAGCGACTTCCAGACTGCCCCCCCCAACCAGTCCCACTACCCCCCACCTCCCTCCCCACACAGCAGCCCCCTCTCCCACCGCCCCCTCCCCCGCTACCCCCACCATGAGTCCCCACCACAGTGCCCACAGTAGCGCCACCGAACCGGCGAGCTGCCCGAGCTGCCGCTGACTCCGCTTCCTCCTCCTCTTCTTCTTTACTGTTTCTTGCCGGCTTGGTCCCCCCACCCCGCCCACCCTCGAATCCCCCTGCCCTCCCCATCATACTTCGAAATATTCCACAATGTTAAAAAGCGTTGCAGGCCTCTCTCGAACAATTCTGCGTTTTCCAACGCGCGTGCAGCCAGAAGCGAAAGCAAGCGATGCACTGACGCACACAAACACACAAAGATCCCAAACCCCCCCCCGCCCCCCGCGTAGCCTGTCATAGACTGTTGGGGCGAGTGCTGTTAGCGAGTAGCACCTGTGAAGGCCGCCACGGCACGCGAGAGGAGGTGGATGGCCAGCACCACGCCCGACGATTAAACACCCGCCCAACGTACGCATATCATGTTACGGCCGAGTCGACCTAGAGTGCGTTGGGAAGGACCCGTGACACGGCAAGCGACAGCCACGTGACGGCGTCTCGCCGCCGGAGAAGTCGTCCCCCCCTCCCGGGTCCCGTCGGGTCTTCTCTGAACTCCGCAAGCCGTCTCTCGACACCCTCGACACCCTCGACACCGACCGTGCTGGCCCGCGCCCGGAACGTCGCCGACCGACTGACGCGTGACCACGCGGCAGTCGGTAGCGTCGGCCGCCGCGATGAATTGGGGGACGAGGCGGCTCGACGGCGCGTTGCGCCGAAGAATCGCGATCTTGCTTTGGCCCGGAGGAGGAATCCGACGAGCTACGAAGATCTTCTTCACCGATTGTAGTCGACCCGGGGCGTCAACGTCGTCGCTGACAAATTAGACATTCCCCCCTTATCCGCCGCCAGAGCCGTCAGTCGTCGCCGTCGCCGTCCGTCCATAGGGGCCCGTTGTTTGTCGGCCGGGATCCGCAAAAACGTCGGCGGTGCCAGCTTCTTGTCTTTGCCAATGAAAGCGAGCTACGCCGCAGCGACTCAGCTGTCCCACGTTTCACTTTTTTACTGGCCGCGCAGTGAAACCGTTTTCGAGAAAAGTTTCGCCATCGTGGGTGGCACCGAGTGGCTCCGTTCTGACCCACGGACTCGATGAGGCGACGCTTCAGGTGAGGCTCTCTACGGTGTGCCATCCCCCGCAATGTTGACCACGGTGGCGAGGTTACAACACCAGGCGCCGCGCTGCCGAGATGTTAATTCCCTCGCCTGGTATACAGGACGTTGTGGGTTCGATCCCGACCCTGGTGCCTGTATATTTGGAATTTGTGTGTTCTCCCCGTGGTCACGTGGATTTTTCTCCAGATCTTCCAGTTTTTTCCCTCCACATTTAGAAACACGCGTTTCGAGTATTTGGCTGCGACAAATTTCCACGTGATAAGCCGTCTTCATTGAGCTATGATCTGTGGCCAGGCCACTTCTGAAAGAGATCTATATAGCTCAGTGGGCCTTACATCTTGAAAAATTTGATGCAAAAATATGTTAGTTTCCAGACTCTTTGGTTCTATTCGATAAAGTCACGTAGGTAAAAAATAAAATAACAAAAATCACGATGTTTCGGCCACAACACAAGCGGCCTTCATCAGGTGAAGGGACCAACCTGTCCACTGAAGGGACCAACCTGTCCACTGTCCACTGGGCAGGTTGGTCCCTTCACCTGATGAAGGCCGCTTGTGTTGTGGCCGAAACGTCGTGATTTTTGTTATTTTATTTTTTACCTACGTGACTTTACCGAATAGAACCAAAGAGTATGGATCCTTGCAATCACGAAAGCTTCAAATCTAGAAATATTAGTTTCCAGACTCTTTTGCTGTCTCTTGCTTTCGGTTCTCTCAATTCGCTCCGACGAGTCTTCAGTTCTTCCTCCCCTTGACCAACGGGGTATTTGTTCGCGCAATGTCCCGGAGACGCAATTGAGCCGTGACATTTCAAGGAGCCGCGACGGTGGCCCGTGGCCTTCCTTTGAAGCGACGCGGCGCCCAGCGCCAGACAACCGCTCGCGATAGACGCTCCACCACGTTTACTTTGCTGCGCCGATCTCAATTACGGCATGGCGCAGACACCGCCCCCCACAACCAACCCCACCACCACCACCCACCATCACCGCAGGTCCGCGATCAAAGCCCGTCGGTTCTCGTTTGCCTCCCCTTTTTACTTCAACTTCGCCGTTACGAACGACCGTCCCGGACCCCGCGACTCGTTGCCGCCGGGGCAATGCGGACGCGCGGGCGCGTGGTTTGTTGGAGGCGAGACGCGACCTGGGAAGCACGTGGGGCGTGGGGGGAGTTGTGGAGGAGAGCGGCTTGGGCGTTTGTTTTGGGCTGGGAGGTGAAGACGACGTGGAGGAACTGCGGCGTTGTGGCCCACGGGGGTTGGGTGGGGGGGTTACCCAGGCATAAAACTCCCCCCCCCCCTCCTCCCCCGCTCCTTCGTGCTTCATTCCCCCCCCCCTCGACACTCTGGGCTCGCCCCCCTTCCCACAATCCCCCCCCACACCCGCCGATGGTCACAAGCACCTGAGTCAACATGACAAGATCGAGGCGGTGGCGGAGGAGAGGGGCCGTGCGGGAGAGACAGCAGGACACCGGCTGGACATAAAACACAAACACGGGCGGCAATAAAGGGACTTCAGAGG